ATAAATAAATAAAAATCCATAACTGCAGCAGGATGCATAAATGTGTGAGTAAATGCATACATACATATATAGATATAAATATAGAGAATTAGAAAAAAGCATACAGAAAATAAACAGCACAAGAGTTACAGAAGATAAATGAAAAGCATCCCTCAATGCTGGCCTGAACATACCTTATATAACATCAAACAACAAGGATTGTCATTAAATGTCTCCCTCAATTTGCTGATGAGCCTCATATGTTGTAACTACACCAAAGAGCTCACTATTCTTTTCTCTGCTAACCCAAATGTTCAGGAATGTAAGGAAATATTGCTGTCAACACAACACATTTTTCCCCATAGGGAAAATAAATTGCAAAGACAGAATTTGTTTTATATTCTACCTTTCCTCCAGGAACTCAAGGCAACATATGCAGCATTCCTTCCTCCCATTTTTTTCTGAAATCAACAAACCTGTGAGGTGCTTTGCGCTGATAGAGAGTGACTGGCCCAAAGTCAGCCATGAGCTTTACAGCTGCAGGTAGATTTGAACCCCATCTTCCGACTCTTAATGCAACACCTTAACCACTATGCTACACTGAATTTCCTTATATTCTCCCTCTTACCAAATGTGCATGTTCCTTTGGGTCTCGCATGTTAGAAAAACTAGCATTATGAGGTGCAACAGATATCCTACCCTTCAACAAAATAAGAGCGGGTATGGATTATTTCCAGGATCCCTGTAATCCTAACTCTCATTATTCCCCAAATTGAGATATTAATTTCCTTTCCAGGGGGTCCAGTCTATACATCCACTGGAGTTAGAGTGTCACTATAAAATTCTCCCTGCATGATAGATTATATTTAGGAAATTAGATCTGTTGGGAAAGCCTCAGGTGGCTAGTCAATCAATGAAGCACACGTCTTGCTTTCTTTTACCCCTGAGATGATCATAGCTGGAGAGCCATACCTTTCCCATGATGTAGCGAGTAGTATAGAATCTTTTCTCCAGCTAAGTAGCAGCTGTGACTTCAGCCACTTCCTTGCAAAACTCCACCACTGAAACACAGGTATAAAGCTACAGGTATAAAGTAAGTCTCTTGGGGTGGGAGGAAGGCTCTCTGCTGCTCCTAATACCATTAGTTGGCTGACTCCAATGGCACCTTTTTTAAAAAAATTGGCTCACGTAATGTAAGCCCAACTCTACAGAGAGCACAATGGACCACCAATCATAATCAGGATGAGTCTCTATCCTTAATTCCCAGGTAAAGTTTTTAGTCACACAGGAAGCTAAGAAAATAGCTTCCTCATCAGTTCAGGAAGCTGAGGAAACAAAACATAATTGCTGCCTGATGAAGCGGGTGCACAGCACGCATTTCTGTGCAGTCGCATTCGATCGTTAAGGGTCTCCAGCTGGGAGAGGATGGATACAAGCGAGCCGGCATGATGATGAAGCAAGTTTTCACGGTTAAGTAGAGTCTGGAAAATGTCGAGGCATTAAGATTTATTTAACATGAACCAGCGAAAGAAACATAAACTACCTGGCTCCCTTGAAACATTTATGTATTATCCATCACAGCAACTAAGTAAAAGTTAAAGGTCATAAGTCCACATGACCTTTACAAAAAACAACAGCAATCTCAAATAAATGATGGCTGGGATATACCTAAGCAATTCCATAAACCAAACAAACATTTTGTGAGCCATAGTGACAAATCCTTAAGCTTTCTTTCAGGGGTAAGCAACCTGCATCTCCAGAATCCCCCTCTGTCCAGGTCAACAATTTACCATCATTCTGAGGCAGGAAAAAAAAAAAAAAAGCTGGAGCATAAACCCTAAAATATTTTAATATATTTTAAAAAGAAAAAACGACTTTTTAAAATATTATCACGATTATTATTTGGATTATTTATATAACTGCCTTTTCAAAATGAGTTGGAGCAATAATTAAAAAATACCCCCCCCCAAAAAAACCCTACTCAGGGCAATAAATAAAAGCTAACATAAAATACAGAACATATCCTCCAACTTGAATATATGCCTTTTTCATCCCATGCAAACTGCCAAAAATATTACCAAGATACCAAACAGCTGCCTATCTCTGGACTATGTAACACATGCCACAAAATCACAGACCTCCCCATTTTTTAGAAGGCCCTGCTTCTACTTTAAAGCACGAACCTCCTAAAGTTAATTTTCTCCAGATGAAACAACTTCCAACCCACAAATAGCAGGGGGAAACAATAAATACCATGTGCCAGTAAGAAAAAAGGCCACTCTAGCATGACCCGTATCAATTGCTATACATATGATCCTGTGCATTATTAAGCTCCTTCATATATAGAGAAAAGGATTCTGGGATTGCAGGCCCCACCAACAGTCTGCTGTCATATGAATCTATCCATCTGTTGAGTTCTTCTGAGACTCTGCTTTACAGGTGTTTCCACGAAAATCAGTTCAGTTCCATCTGATTTTTAAATGATTTCCCCAAACTGCATCTCTCCATATCCATGTGCACTGAAACTGACATCTTTGGAAATTTGGTGATGTGGTTTGCACCTCATAAAATACTCATAAATTGCATATATTAGGGAAAAATAAGTACAAATAATACATTACATTATGAGAACTTTTTTTCCAAGTGTACAGAAAAACTGTATACAATAGATATTAGGAGTAGCACACATGAAAATCCACACAAGGTTTCATGTAGTGTTTGCTGAATTTGTAAATCAATGTGGAAACAAAATATATTTATAGTCAAGAAAATAAGAAACTGAGCAAAAACAAAACTGAGAGATTTGCCCTAAAATACAAATTTATTTTCACTTACTTAAAGATATTAATGTAGTATTGACTTTTTCCCATTTCTAGCTTTAAATCAAGAGTATTCTATTTTCCCAAGCCTTTGAAAGATAATTTTTTTGCTGTTTTTTTTTAAACATGGTTTTCTTTAAAACCATACACCCCGTTTTAAGAGTAATTGTATTTTAATGTTTGAGAGCAACTTTGAATAGTAGGCAGTGAAATATGGAATATAAATAATTCAAATGAACAAATAAGGCTCAGGGTTATTCAACACATGTTCTTTATGTGGTTGAAACTACTAGTATAACCTGCAAAGAACCATCACAGATTTCTCATGTTCCCTAGACTTACCATTTGATTCTATCTATCTATCCATCCATCCATACAAGGGATTTATGCTACTCTAAGATCAGATCACCACTCTTGTCATCCCACACCACTGCCTCTGCTCAGCAGCTGAACGGATTTGCTTCCAGCTCAACTGTGGTGCAAAAAGAACCATTCTCAGCTGGAAATGCAGAAGTTTGGTGGAGTTTGCAGGCAAGCATCTCCACGGGAGGGAGAACTTTTGCTTCAGCCCTCCTGAACATCAGCTGCCCACCAGGTCCTCTAAAGGAAAGGTTGCCTTGACAGTTTTGCAAATCCCACTTCCTGTAACAGGGAAAGCAGGAAAAGGTGAAATGCCTAGGATGCTGTCAGTTTCCCTCTTCTCTTAGGGAAGGGGCAAGCAATGCAAAGCAACAGGCTGCTTAATTTCCCCCCCTTTTTTTCTTCTTTTTTTTTCTCTATGGAATGGATTAAAAGGATTTTTGTTATTGCAGAACCTGCAGCAGATGAGGTACTGACGTGATTTTCGCTAATTTAATCTGCTTGAATTAGAAGAAAATTTTCAAACTATTGTTGAGGGACTGGGGAATGAAAATAGCAGCAGCAAGAAAGTGCCCACTGTTTACCTATTAATACTTTTTTTCTTTTTCTCTTAATAGCAAAACTATCCATCCTACAGCATTATCAGCAAGAAAAATTAACAACTTGATGCTGCCTTGGGGAAACCCTTCAAAATAACTGTAATCATGACCAAATATCTGTCTGTTTTGCAGAAAGCATTCCATTACACAGAGATTAGATTATGTAGAGATGAGAAGCTTACTGGAGGTTAGGAAATGTTTCATGTGTTATGAACATGCCTCTTAGCTGAGATCTAAGGGAGATATCTTGAAGATACTGCAACTGCCAGAGATTTGCTATGCAATGACCCAGGAGTGTGTGCTTTGTATAGAAGCGGCCCACTCGGAATTCATTCCTTTAGTTGTGGTTGATGCTGAACCTTTTGGACCTTCAGTACAAGTTTAAGATATATCATGGCTGGTGTGGATCTTCCAGGCTGTGTGGCTGTGTTCTGGAAGTTTTGTTTCCTAACGTTTCGCCAGCATCTGTGACCGGCATCTTCAGAGAGCAGGAGCACACCAGGACATGTGAGCAGCTCACAAAATGAACATACTAATCACTCCCAGCAGCCACTCGTTAACAACTCAAT